TGCTGAACACTACTTGTTCGCTTCTTTTTCTTCCCTATTAAAATACTGCAGTAGAGCTTACTTTAAGTAGCACAAACCCAAACAATATAGAATATATCTAATCTGGAAATTATGTGATTATGTTTCAAAGTCAATGACATCACATAGATGTCATTGGGGATTTGAACACTGAAATGTTTTTAACAAAGATTATAGACTTCAGGTTAACAACATTTTTTGTTTTCAATAGTCTGTATCTTATGGGAGGGTTTGGGGACTCTCAGTGACCTGAAGGCATCAGGCTGCCCTTTTGCTTTTCAGATATGTACATGGAGCAGGAGGTGTGTTTATAGCTGATGAAGTTCAAGTAGGCTTTGGCCGAGTTGGGACACATTTCTGGAGCTTCCAAATGTTTGGTGAAGATTTCGTTCCAGACATCGTCACAATGGGAAAACCAATGGGCAATGGCCACCCAGTGGCATGCGTGGTAACAACCAAAGAAATTGCAGAAGCCTTCAGCAGCTCTGGGATGGAATATTTCAATACGGTAAATTTTGACCTCCCCACTTTAATGCTAAGAGGGAAAAATAATGCATGTTCTTATGTTTCTTTCCAATGTAATAAACAATAAATCTCACTGTTGCCGGCTAACCACGCCAGGACCCTAGCCAAATTTTGATCTAACCATATTTCATTCTATCTGACACAATCCTCCTTGTATTTTTTTCTTGTGTATCTTTCCCCTTCCTAAAATGTTTCTATTAATTGTTCCAGTGACAGATGGCTGCCCTGCTAAACTCTAGAGGTTATGATATTTCATTAACAGATAATATGATCTTTTTTGTTTTGTATCACATTTAAATTCCCAAAACACTTCACTTAGATGATTCACTACTATAAATGTTACAAGGCTGTCATAGGAGATACTAACTAAATTTCTATCTTTGGGAAATTTTATTTCCTTGATTTTACCCCTAAAAGTTATAAGCTTTAAGTTTGGAAAGATTATTATAGTTTGTGCAGTATGTGTAATAGGACTTGTTGCAGCTAAAAGTTAGAGTCAAATCTAAGAACATAAATTATTTGGAGAAAATGTCATTGCTTAGCTTTTTTCACACAGATAGTCAAGCACTGAAACCCACATCCCCCTAACTAAACCACACTCTGAAATCCTTAATTCCCAACACAATGTCTGTTTTTGGTTTGGACGAACTTATAAATTCCCCAATAATCTTTCATACCAGTTTTGCAGCTATATATAATTTAGAATTTTATTCTCAATCTTAAATGCATAGAATCATGTTATATTCTAAATCTAAGAAACTAATATCACAAGGGAAATTTTTTATTGAAAGTATATCTTTACTTGCTTATGTATGAGCCAAATTTCTCATAGATGAAGCAATACCACAAATTCAACTATTCTATTTTCTCATTTATCGTTTTTCCACAGTATGGAGGAAATCCAGTATCCTCTGCTGTTGGTTTGGCCATCCTGGATGTAATTGAAAATGAAGACCTTCAGGGAAATGCCACAAGAGTAGGGAATTATCTCACCAAGTTACTGAATAAGCAGAAGGCTAAACATGCTTTGATAGGAGATATCAGGTATATTTATCATAAAGTTGTCATGCAGTTATTCATTTGTCCAAATGAAAATTTGTTATATTTTATCTTATAAATTTAAAACAAGTTAACACATGGGGGCTTCCCTGGTGGCGCAGTGGTTGAGAGTCTGCCTGCCGATGCAGGGGACACGGGTTTGTGCCCCGGTCTGGGAAGATCCCACATGCCGTGGAGTGGCTGGGCCCGTGAGCCATGGCCGCGGAGCCTGTGCTCCGCAGCGGGAGAGACCACGACAGTGAGAGGCCCGCGTACCGCAAAAAAAACAACAAAACAAAAACAAGTTAACACAAAAGCAGATCTAGAAACACTGAAAAAACAAAAACAAAACTCGTTTTTCATCCAGAACCCAGATATCATCACTGTTAACTTTTGGGTATATATCTTTCCTGATTTTTATACTTTTTTGAAAAAAATTAAGCCAGGATCATTTCAGCAGGCAAAAGATGAAGAGAAGGAACTTAAGGTAACTAAATGATCTATTAAAAAGATTAAAAATGACATCCAAGAAAACTCACTATTTTTCATATATATATGAAAACATTTTCATATATATATGTAAAGATTAAAGATTTGTCATAGTTGATGTCTTGAGAAGCTAAATAGCATGACAAGGTTGTTTTTAAGCCTTTTTCTTTTTACAATTAAGAGAAGAAAGAAAAACTGGTTGACAAAAACTAACAATTCAAAAACTAGGAAGTCCTGTGGACACTAGATTGGTATCTTGGATTAATTAGAACTAATAACAACTACCCTTTAAAGAGAATCACATTCAGCTTCAAATCAAACTGAAGTCTGAGGACAGTGTTAATTTTTTGTGACAATGCAGTGCTTAATAAAGTGTGTCAAGTTTCCTTTCTTTACCTCCCTCAGGGGCGTTGGCCTTTTTATTGGAATTGACTTAGTGAAGGACCATCAGGAAAGGACCCCCGCCACAGCCGAAGCTCAGCACATCATCTACAAGTAAACACACCCCTCACTGTTTGGTATCTTGGCTTGAATGCTTTATTTTACTTCCTCTTATCTCCCCAAATGAGAAAAGTCTAAGACTCGTGCAATTACAAATCTGGGCTTCTTGCATGAGAATATGAAAGTGCTCTCTGTTCACATCATTCTGAAATAATCTTAGTTATCACTTGTATGCACTCACATGTATTTCCTGCACCCATTAGGATGAAAGAAAAGCGAGTGCTTCTCAGTGCCGATGGACCTCATAGAAATGTGCTTAAAATAAAACCACCCATGTGCTTCACTGAAGAAGATGCCAAGTTTATGGTGGACCAGCTGGATGAGATTCTAACAGGTCTGTCCACAGATCTTTAAATAAGATGCCCTCACCCACACTCTGGTCAGACATGACAGTGCAACTTGCACTGGCAGAAGTGAAGGAGGGTGGAAATGATTGTATACACTTATATTATCATTTATTTTCACTTTTTAAAAATAATTGCATGTCTTCATTGTACCATGCACCACAGATGCTGCAGTGTAAGAGTCTTTGAGCTTTGTACCATGAGAATATGGGAAATGCTGTTAATAAAAATTATAAGCTAGGGACTTCCCTGGCAGTCTAGTGGTTAAGACTTCGCCTTCCAATGCAGGCGGTACAGGTTCGATCCCTGGTCAAGGAGCTAAGATCCCACATGGCTTGGGGCCAAAAAACCAAAACAGAAAACAGAAGGAATATTGTAACAAATTCAATAAAGACTTTAAAAATGGTCCATATCAAAAAATCTTTAAAAAAAAATATATATATATGTATATAGGTTATAGGTTAATATAGTTATCATTTGACTTTGTATTTCACTTATTACAATTTAATTTTTGAAGACTTATGTTTGTCATTCAGAATTATAGCCTGTCATAGGAATTCATCTTTTGTTTACCTCTGTTAAATAATTAGGTTAATTTGTTTTTCTGTTATGAGCATAAATTGAGATTAACAAGTAAGGTAACAATGTAAAACCATATTGAAAAACATAAAGCACTGTCAAATGTTAGAGCTTTTAGTTATATTTTTAAGATTCTACTTCTCTGCTCCCTCTCAGCCTCTTGGGGGTGGGATAAGGCTAAGCCAGGAATCAGTACAGCATACAAAATAGACCATTATTATTTGGAAAGTTGAGAGTCAGCCCCAGGTTATTCGTAATACGGTCACTGTCTTTGGACCAAAAGACACCCAAACTTGGCTAACAGTCCTGATGCCTCTGGTGCCTTGAAGGGACAGGTGGAAGAGACTATAGGTTGGGGCAAATCTGTCACTATTACTTAAAATTCAGCTCAGAGCTTGAGCATTTTTAGTGGTGCGGCTAAAGAATTCTTTCTTAACAAAGTGAACGAGGCGGAGCTAACATAGGCTCAGCGCCACTTGTAATGATGAAATGCTACAATAAAAGTTTAAAAGCAGCTATTGTAACAGTGACACTTTTTAAAAACATGTACCTCTCTAGTTTTCTTTAAGGGTGGCCCTCTAGTTACCAAAATGGGGTGGTTTTTTTTTTAAGGACTTTTATGTTCTTCTGTCTTGTCCGTTGTATCTTCCTTGACATAGGTTTAGAAGAAGCCGTCGGAGCCAAAACTGAGAGTGTGATCTCTGAGAATACTCCGTGCAGAACCAAGGTAAGAGTCAGTTACTTAATATTTAGGGGAATATTTGGGGGAATTTAAGAAAAAGGAGTGTAAATTTAAAAAAACTGTACAATGACTTCTAGAATAAAACTCACCTTTGCTAGAGTTGGCTTACTGTTGCAATTTTGAGTGCACAATTAAGGCAAGTGCCTTACCACTTGACAAGAATAAAGCCAAAGAACCATTCTTACAGGATCATTCCTATACTCCCCGCCCCGCCCCGCCAGAAAAAGTCCAAAAACCCCCTCAGGCTTGCAAAGAGGGCCTTCAAAATATAGAGAGAGATAACAGATGTCCTAAGCTCCTTCCTGTTTGTCTGAGGGATGCCTGACACTGACTCAAAGTCCCACACACCACTCTTTAATCAGCAAAAGCATCAGCAGTGTGGCTCCAGAACGTCAGAGTTTGGTCCTCAAGTGAACTAAAGAAGAAACTTTGACTGGCGGCGGGGCCTGGGGACCATTTGGCATGGAGTGGCCTAGTTTCTGCATTTGATGTGCTTCCAGCAGAGGGCTTCCCCTTTCTCTCCCTGAGCTACCCAGGGTGTGAGAAAGCGCTCCCTGGGTTGGGAAACAGAAATGCAAAAACGTGAGAGGCTTTGTTGCATAATTAGTTATTTGTTTATGACTTCGATGCATAAAGGAACACTCAAGCCCACCTGCACATCCAGTGTAGTCAGCAAAGTCCTTTTCCTGAGTGAAAAACATGAGGCCCTTTGAATGAGAGAGCAAGTGATTTGCTAACAGGATGCTTCTGTCTCTTGGTGCAAACACAAACCAATGCTAGAAATCAGTGCATCTCTGCTGTCTGAGAGTGGCTTATTGAGTCTGGGACAGAATCACAGCTGTCAGGACCAAGCAAGCATTGAAAAGGAGCTTACAGGGACTTGGTCAGGGAACTAGATCCCACATGCCGCAGCTATGAGTTCGCATGCTGCAACGAAGATCCCACATGCCGGCGCAGCCAAATAAATAAATAAATAAATAAATATTAAAAAAAAAAAAGAAGAAGTAGAAGAAAGAAAGAAAGAAAAGGAGCTTACAAAAAAAGGAGTTCCCACCAGAAATCCCGCTTTGAAGTTAGCACGCGTTTCTGAAATTTTGGCTTTCAGTCCCAGATTTTAGGTTGACATCATTTCAGATGTCTGTGGAAAATAGTAGTAATCAGAGTTAGGGAGGAAGAACGGGCATTGCTGTGTTGTGTTGTGTTATGTTGTGTTGTATTCTCCCGCGTGCCGTGTTGCCTGTCGGCCTGTGGAGTCAGCCCTGCGGAGCCTGGAGGCTGGGTGGGTTAGAGGCGGGCTGCCTGCTGGAGTTTCCGTGTCTGTCTTGCAGATGCCTGAGGAAGCCCACTCGGAATTGCTCAGTGACGGCAGCCCGGACCCCAAAGAAAATCCCAGCCGAAAAAGAAATGGATTGTGCACAGATAAACATTCACTGCTCAGTAAGAGGCTCAAGACATGAGAGACGAGCATTTTACAGCAAGATCAATGTCCAGAGTTACACAGAATGAATGGAAGTGTCCCTTCTGTTAAAGCTCTATTATACCCGCCAAAGGAAGAATCTGCATTCCATTCAGGTATAAATAAAGTAAATGAGTAATAAGAATAATCCAAGTGATAATCAAACCCTGTCAAGATTCAGCCTCCAGCCTGTTAATTCCTTACTTGAGATTTCTGAAAGTACTCCATTTATTCTATTCAATTTCAGCTTCAAATGGAATATTTATTAAGTTGGAAGTTTTACGTCTCATGTTTTAATATTTGACGTGACAGAGCAAAGTACGGTAGTAGGTTCCTGAACTTTGGAGACTATGAATTCTTTAATGATTTAATTTGTATATATTTATGGACTATAATAAAATAAAAGATGATGTAAACGAAAAAAAATTTGACCAGAAAATTGTTTACCGTTCCTTTGCGGAGAACACTGGGGCAGTAAAATCAACGCCACTTGGAAAAAAATCACATACAGCAAATGTGAAGAACTGAATGAATAATTTGGACTTCTGTTGGGGAACTAGGTTAATCATGGTCCTGTGGGGACGAGGGTGGAGGCCAAACAAGGAGTACACCCAGAAACACTCCTAAACATGTTGTTGGGACACCTCGGCTCTGGCTACTCAGACTGTCACCTTGGCAAGTCACTTACCTGTTAGGTGAGAAATTAACTTTCCACCGATCATCTTCCTCTTCTCATCCAGCTTATCACCTTTGCACAATCCCTGACACATAGAGATACACACATTTCTAACCAGAGATTGGCAAAAGGAAGTGAGGAAACCCAGAACCTCAAAAATCTCTTCCTTAAAGGTCCTGGTGCCGGGCTTCCCTGGTGGCGCAGTGGTTGGGGGTCCGCCTGCCGATGCACGAGACGCGGGTTCGTGCCCCGGTCCGGGAGGATCCCACGCTTCTGTCTCTTGGTGCAAACACAAACCAATGCTAGAAATCAGTGCATCTCTGCTGTCTGAGAGTGGCTTATTGAGTCTGGGACAGAATCACAGCTGTCAGGACCAAGCAAGCATTGAAAAGGAGCTTACAGGGACTTGGTCAGGGAACTAGATCCCACATGCCGCAGCTATGAGTTCGCATGCTGCAACGAAGATCCCACATGCCGGCGCAGCCAAATAAATAAATAAATAAATAAATATTAAAAAAAAAAAAGAAGAAGTAGAAGAAAGAAAGAAAGAAAAGGAGCTTACAAAAAAAGGAGTTCCCACCAGAAATCCCGCTTTGAAGTTAGCACGCGTTTCTGAAATTTTGGCTTTCAGTCCCAGATTTTAGGTTGACATCATTTCAGATGTCTGTGGAAAATAGTAGTAATCAGAGTTAGGGAGGAAGAACGGGCATTGCTGTGTTGTGTTGTGTTATGTTGTGTTGTATTCTCCCGCGTGCCGTGTTGCCTGTCGGCCTGTGGAGTCAGCCCTGCGGAGCCTGGAGGCTGGGTGGGTTAGAGGCGGGCTGCCTGCTGGAGTTTCCGTGTCTGTCTTGCAGATGCCTGAGGAAGCCCACTCGGAATTGCTCAGTGACGGCAGCCCGGACCCCAAAGAAAATCCCAGCCGAAAAAGAAATGGATTGTGCACAGATAAACATTCACTGCTCAGTAAGAGGCTCAAGACATGAGAGACGAGCATTTTACAGCAAGATCAATGTCCAGAGTTACACAGAATGAATGGAAGTGTCCCTTCTGTTAAAGCTCTATTATACCCGCCAAAGGAAGAATCTGCATTCCATTCAGGTATAAATAAAGTAAATGAGTAATAAGAATAATCCAAGTGATAATCAAACCCTGTCAAGATTCAGCCTCCAGCCTGTTAATTCCTTACTTGAGATTTCTGAAAGTACTCCATTTATTCTACTCAATTTCAGCTTCAAATGGAATATTTATTAAGTTGGAAGTTTTACGTCTCATGTTTTAATATTTGACGTGACAGAGCAAAGTACGGTAGTAGGTTCCTGAACTTTGGAGACTATGAATTCTTTAATGATTTAATTTGTATATATTTATGGACTATAATAAAATAAAAGATGATGTAAACGAAAAAAAATTTGACCAGAAAATTGTTTACCGTTCCTTTGCGGAGAACACTGGGGCAGTAAAATCAACGCCACTTGGAAAAAAATCACATACAGCAAATGTGAAGAACTGAATGAATAATTTGGACTTCTGTTGGGGAACTAGGTTAATCATGGTCCTGTGGGGACGAGGGTGGAGGCCAAACAAGGAGTACACCCAGAAACACTCCTAAACATGTTGTTGGGACACCTCGGCTCTGGCTACTCAGACTGTCACCTTGGCAAGTCACTTACCTGTTAGGTGAGAAATTAACTTTCCACCGATCATCTTCCTCTTCTCATCCAGCTTATCACCTTTGCACAATCCCTGACACATAGAGATACACACATTTCTAACCAGAGATTGGCAAAAGGAAGTGAGGAAACCCAGAACCTCAAAAATCTCTTCCTTAAAGGTCCTGGTGCCGGGCTTCCCTGGTGGCGCAGTGGTTGGGGGTCCGCCTGCCGATGCACGAGACGCGGGTTCGTGCCCCGGTCCGGGAGGATCCCACGTGCCGCGGAGCGGCTGGGCCCGTGAGCCATGGCCGCTGCGCCTGCGCGTCTGGAGCCTGTGCTCCGCAGAGGGAGAGGCCACAGCAGTGAGAGGCCCGCGTACCGCAAAAAAAAAAAAAAGTGCTGGTGCCATGGGACATCCACTCGGAGGCTCACGTACTGACCTGGAAGAAATTTGCCTTTTAGCCTTGACTTCCCAGTATCTTATTGCCCTCCTAACAGTTATTAAGCTTTGTGTGTTGGTTTCTGTTCTGTAGAGAAGAGATCATAATTTTTCTAGGGCTGTTGCATGAGAGCTGAGAAATAAATTAAATGTAAAAAAGCTTCCTTTCTGAGTTCATCATAAGTTAAAATGCTGTCAAAATGCCAAGTCTCATTATTAAATAGTTTTTCCTCCTAAACATATAACTGACTGTGGATCCAAGCTGGATAGTGCTGAGATGGATTCCCAGGAGCTGGCGGAGAGGAGAGAATATAGAGGTCTCTGTGGTTTGCCTCTAGGAAACGAGATTAATTCCAGGACAACCAGACTTTTCACAGCGCAGATCAGCACTCCTGTGGGCACTCGTGTACTCAGAAAGTGCTTGTCTCCTTAAAAGGAGCTGCTGCCATCTCGGCCACTGTGGCCATTCTGCTCGTGTGCCATTATGTCTTTTGTGAGCTGGCTAATGTCAAAGGCTGCGCTGATGTCAACCGGCCAAGTTATTTTGCCTTCTTCGTTGTTCAGTGCCTCTTCTGGGGTGGATGCTTTTTGGTGGACATTAACATGTGATAGAGAAAATCTTAACATGTGGTCTTTATTCCATATATTCATGCATATGCCCCTGCCCAATATCTCCTTTTGCCACAGACCTTCTAATTCTTTCAGGCTCCTGACCAGCTATTCAGCCATTCACCATTCTAGTTATCATCCAGTTTGTAGAAACCAAGTCGGCTAATTAAGAGAAGAGATGATAGGGAGGACAGCAACCCCTGCATCCTTTAGATTTTTAAGAGTGGCTAATCAAGGCCCAGAATGTTCTATTGTCTTTTCTTTTTAAAATTTTTTGTTTCTTTAATGTGTATCTATTTTATTTATTTATTTTTGGCTGCATTGGGTCTTCGTTGCTGCGCGTGGGCTTTCTCTAGTTGCGGCGAGCCGGGGCTACTCTTGGTTGTGGTGCGTGGGCTTCTCATTGCAGTGGCTTCTCTTGTTGCGGAACATGGGCTCTAGGCACACTAGCTTCAGTAGTTGTGGCTCACGGACTCTGGAGCGCAGGCTCAATAGTTGTGGCGCACGACCTTAGTTGCTCCATGGCATGTGGGATCTTCCCGGACCAGGGCTCGAACCCATGTCCCCTGCATTGGCAGGCGGACTCTTAACCACTGCGCCACCAGGGAAGCCCTGTTCTATTGTTTTTTACTTATCATCTTGGTTGGAGACAGTGAGGACAAGTGTGTGGAAGGGAAGTTTCAGAGGCTTCCACGGGGCCATCTCCACTATAACAGTTTTTACTCCACAGGCCAGGGACCCATTCTAGGGGTGACTCCAACTGCCAAGTATGTCCATCCCAATCATACTTTTGGGGACTGAAGAAACAAACACAGGTGGCCTTTTAAAAAAATATATATTTATCTATTTATTTTGAATTTATTATTATTATTTTTTGGCTGCACTGGGTCTTAGTTGTGGCACACAGGATCTGTCATAGCGGCACACAGGCTTAGTTGTCCCACAGCATGTGGGATCTTAGTTCCCTGACCAGAGATTGAACCGGCATCCACTTCATTACAAGGCAGATTCTTAACCACTGGACCACCAGGGAAGTCCAGGTGGCCTTTTCTAGTGAAGCCTTGAAGAACACTGAGTTTCTTGTCGACATCCTTCTGAGAAGGGTTGGCACTCACCTGACTGAATGGGAAGACCTCCTTTGGGGCAGTACAGGCGAGCAGATATAGAGGCTTTACCCTGGGCTCACTGTGAATAGAGGGTGGAGGGGTGCTCCTCAGGGAGAGCAAGGGGAAAGCTCTATTTCCAAGACAGAGCAACAGCTAAAGTAAAAAAGAAAATTCAAGACTTTCTCCTCATTGCTCTGACATAAGACATCTATGCCTTGTTGAATTCCAAGTCTACATCTTGTTAGGTTTATTCAGAGGTATTTGATGTATTTTGGTGCCACTGTAAATAGCATCTTTTTAAATTTGGTTTTCCAACTGTTCTTGGTGTTTGGAAGTTCAGTTGACTTTTGCATAATTGACTGATTTCAGTAAACTAGCTAAACCCACTTGCAAATTCCAAAAATTGTCCATTCTTTCGGATTTGTACATATATAATTACATCATCTGAGAATAATGACAGTTTTATTTATTCCTTTGTCATCCCTATATCTTTTGTTTTTTCTTTTGCTTTACTCCACTGGCTAGGACATCTAATACGATCATCACCAAAACTGGTGATGGTAGACACCCTTGTCTGGTTGCATCTCAAAGAGAAAGTGTCCAACATTTTACCGCTAAGCCTGGTGTTTCTTCCCCTTGGCGCTCCGTACAGTGGAAGCGTAGGGTCTTAACCACTGGACCACCAGGGAAGGCCCCACCCAGCGTTTTAAAACATTGTTCCCTTGTGCTGTCAGAAAAAAAGTCTTTAAAAAAATTCTAGAAAGAAAGTAATCATGGAATGGCAACCACAAGAAACCTGTCTACATAAGACACACATCTACTCTTAGGCGGGAAACGATGAAGTGCCCTCCGAGGTGTCAACTTGAAAACACCCACACATCCCACCCAGATGCTGAACAACTGTGGATTCCTTCCCCTCAGAGACTGCGGTTGAAGAAACTATGGTGAGAAAATGGAGGAAACAGGCCTCCCTGGATGGGGGTGTTTTGAATTTGGTGTCTGACGGTGGGGCTACGGTGGTCCGGGAAGGAGGCTGTCCAGCTCAGTGTGGAAAGGGGAAAATAGGAGGGGACATGGTCGGGCTCTGCCCTGGCTCCACCCTCGCCAGTGCCCTGGGATCCCAACAGTAATAGCACAGTTTAAAAGTTCAGGATGAGAAAGGTAGTTGTGGACTAACTGACCTCAGGCAGTTACTTTCCCACCACTCTTCCATTTCCAAGTTCCTGGGGCTAGGAATGATATCCAAGCTCCCTCTTAAAGCTGCTTATCCCTCGGGGGTAAAGCCTGGAGGAGTTATCCTGTGGAGGGGGAGTGCCTGACTGGGTTTCTGAAGGCTGCTGCTCTCCACCTCAGGGCTCTTCCACCGCCATCCCAGCCCAGCCCCGTTCCCTGAGCTTGAGGGTTCTGAACTTTTCCCAAGTACACTGCCCCACTGCTTTGGCTGTTCTTTTTTACATCTCTATTGCACACTGCACTAGTTTCTGAGGGGTGTATGCTTAGGACTGAATTGCTGAGTGCTTAGGGTATGTGCGTGTTCAACTTTAGTAGGCAATGCCAAACTATTAGCAAAGTCGTTACCCCGATTTCTATTCTTACCAGGAATTTATAAGAGATCCTGCAGATCCATGTCTTCTCCAGTATTTCATGTTGTCTGCAGTGCCATTCATAATAGTAAAAACCTGGTAACACAAATGCCCCTCAGTGGTGAAGTAGGTTAACAAACTATGGAAGATCGACAACACACCATTAAAAAATTATGAACTGCAATGCCACACAGCAACATGGATAAATCTTATCAATACAATAATAAGTGAAAGATAAGCCCAAAAGGTTACATACAGCAGCATACCCCCTTTTATAAAGTTGAAAACTGTACATGTTACCTGAAAGACTGGGTTCACCTCTTGCTGGGTGTTGAGCCAAAAGGTACAACCAAGCCAAAGATTGGGAGAAGGAAGAGAACCATACTTTCGCTAACACTGGCTTAAAGATTTGAAACAAGAGGGGTGCTCATGTAGCTAAGGAAGTTGCCATTGAGGGGTCAGTGATGGAGCGATTAAGAGCCAATTTTACTATGGCCAGATTAAACCTTATAAATTATAAGTCAGTTAGGGAAAGGATTTTCTTCCTTTTTATGTGTTTGGTACGTATTATTTCTGAGAATTTATACTGGTCCTTGGGAGATGCATATAGGTGTGTATGTGCGTGCGTGTGTGTGTGTGTGTGTGTGTGTGTTTATTTTCCAACAGGTACCTCATGGACACTTAAAAGAATAACAAGTGTACCTGCATAAATCATCCTGGCAAGAAGTCCTTAAAAAAGATTGGACTCCAGTGGACCAATAACCACCCTATGTGCATCTTCTGGAATTGGCATGACAAAGCCCACGGCACACTATCCTGACGCCAACTAAACTACTCATGGTTGAATCTAAGTTTTTCCCTTTTTAGAAAATATAATGGTGCAGAGTGACCCTTAAGGTGGAGGGGAAAACTGGCATTAAGATTTCCAACATTATGAAAGTACTCCCAAATTTATCTTCTCTAAATTAAATAAACCCATTTATTTCAGACTTTCCTCATAGAAA